ATGCTGGGTTTGGCAATATTGAAAGATATAATAGGATCCTAATTAAAGAAAAGTATCATCCAATTCTTCAAGGACATGGAATTTCATCTTGTACAATTAAAAAAAGATGATCGCGCGTCTAACTACATGATAATCACCCTAAGCACATGCACATCTTTTATAGTTTTATGTGCCAGAAATATTTAGAAACAAACTCGTTCTAGTGATCTCGTTCTCATGGCTTTCCACCTCAAATTCCAGATCTAAAACTTATGGAACACTTTTACGACCGTTTTAACCGGAAAAGGGCGAGGCAAATTAATAATGTCAATAATTTAGACACAATTTAGACACACAGTTTACAACGACAAACACAGATTTTTACCTCTTGTGTATATGTGTACGACGCCTGCGTTTAAATTCACTTCAGTAGAATCCGGTTACGAGCAAAAAAGCCATATTTTCAACTTCTTATGCTGCATTGATTTCTTAGGAACTTATAATACATTTAAAAAATTTTTCCAGCTATTTATTTCAAGCAGTTTGTTTTTGCCGTCGTTGTCGCGTTGCTGTCCTTCTTGTTAAGGTATCTATTGCGCAACACTGCAAACAAACATCGCGAACTTCCAAATGATCGAGATCATTGCCGCATTTAGATAACGGGGGTGGATTGCGTACAATATTAATTTTATATTCGCAAAACTGCAAACAAACATCGCGAATCTTCATTAATGTCAAGAATATTGCGTTGCCTCCTAAGGGAAATTAACCGCATGAATGGCAGAAAATTATTTTGCTTGAGTTCTACATTTTTAAGTCATCATATATTGCCTTCAAGGGGACAAAACGCACGCTCATGAATATCTGAAATAGAATTTTGTATGTGTACATATTCCTATTATGGAGAACAAAAATACAACGATGAAAATCGGTGGTGTAATCATACCTTCGCATTTCCGTCCTTCTCCTGTGTAACCGCGTCGACACTGGCAGTCGAATGAACCTGGAGTGTTGGTGCAATTTGCATTTTTGTCACATTTGTGCGTTCTTTTTTGACATTCATCGACATCTGAAATACATACTTTAATTGCATTAAAGTTATTTTTGTAATATTACTCTACTACACTCATGGCCGAAACTAGATTTCCAATCCTACGTGACCGGCTTCTATGAATACGCACGGACATGCAAAACACGTCGGGATTAGGAACTAATAATAAAGTTTGAAAATTATCCCCAACGGTTCGTCCCATGCATTTGGCAAAATTTTCGAACAACAATGTTGTTATTAAGGTGGTCTAGTATTTCGATATGCATCTGCAAAAATATCATAGCATATTACACATAGACGATAGAGTATTTAAATGTTCGGAAATTCTAATGATAGATGACTGTAAGGATGCACAATGTATAATTAAACAAAATTAAAGCAAAATATTTAACTGACTATAAACATAAAACGTCTACGATCTATCTATCTATGTGTATATATACCCTTCGAATTTTAAAACAGGATAAATCGCCATTTCAATGTCCTAGGCCACCTTAAAACCAAACTGTACTGGCATCGCATTATTATTCAAAAAATATCAAAATGCTGTTTTTTACCCACCAGCTGCACCTATAACGTTAAAAAAAACCTGAAGTATATTGCCGGTGAAACCGCAACGTGATTTCCACCATTTTACGATGCGTGACCGTATTTATTATATAGTTTGCAGTGCTACACGCAGTTTTGCGCATGATATTTATAGTCGGGAACACCTGTTTGATTAAAAAGGACAATTAAAGAGGAAAATACACTGCGTGTGGTGGCCAATTATTTTGCCTTTGCACTAGACAATTTTTGTTGTTTTTGATCGCCGAACATCTGTAACAATATAATGAGTAAATTTTGCTAAACAAAGACTCAACTTGCTTTAATACGGAACAAATGCAAGGGTTTTTATAGGATATTCTAAGTGTGATGAGCGAAGACAACCGACCAGGACCGAAAGATCCGACCGTCGTACGACCTTTCGCTCCGACCATGACTGATGAGTGATTAACCAAAAATCCCCCTAAGTTGCAGTTGATCAGTTAACATCATTACAGAGTTAAAACAGTAAAAATATTTGTACCATTGCATTTCTTTCCATTGCCTTCGTAACCAATTTGACACAGGCATTTATATGAACCTGGTGTGTTTCTGCAGTTTGCTTTTTGGCTACATTGGTGTGTTCCTTTCGCACACTCATCGGCATCTGAAATTGCATTTTTCATACGTACATATTCATATTATTTCTAATAAAAATGACGATAAAAATTGATGGTGCGAAGTGGGTAGGAACTGCATACATCCAAGCTTATATCAAACCACACCATTCAGAATAAGGAGGTATATAATCAAACTTTCAAATGGGGGGATTGCATGCTGATTGTAAAATAAATGCAATATAGTTAGTTACAGTTTTCTGGCAAGAATGACGCGTACGCTTTTGCGATACCAGAGAATTACTTTCACCAGTAAGCAACAACGGGCTTTTTCGTGGAACATTTCATGGAACATGCTTTTGTTTTGCAATCCAGATTAATGTAAAGCGGGTTAATTATCGCATGGCGTATCTAGACTGCATTTCTAGCATTTGCATCTAGGTTTTTTAATTTCTATGGCTGTGTTTAATTATGTAAGTAGCATTGCCAAAGAAGGATAGCTATTCTTGTATACATTAGTATATATATACAAAGTATTGCAATTGAAAAAAAACACAAAATTATTTGCTTGGTTATGTGCTTAGTAATGTGCTTAGAATGCAGCACATCAAAATATTTCAACCTTAATTAGATAAGGCATGAATCGGAATATTATAAGCTCTAAAAAGAGGCTAGCTTGCCATTTCGAACTATTTCTAATTCTCATGGGATTACATGCGAACCAGAATTGTTAATGCGTATTTATTTTTGGCTTACCTTCTATTAAAGTTGTTAATTGTTTGGGGTTTACACCATGTAAACACAATTATTTGCTTGGTTATGTGCTTAGTAATGTGCTTAGAATGCAGCACATCAACATTATAATAATAATGTAATTTATAATTATAATTACAATTATAATATCTATAATTAAAATTATTCATATTAATCATTATAATATTTGTAGTTTACTAGATTTCTAAGCTTTCGGCCCGTGAGCTCGGGCCATCATCAGAGAAAAGTTTAATTACAAACAAACTATGCATGTGCGCAAGCACATCACGCAACAAAGTCACGCAATTATAAATTACGTCCGGTTTCGCCTATATAGCTACACTAATATATACCTAATATATATACCAATATAGGCCGGCAAAAATGTTTTCCGTGTTTACCATACTCACCCTTGACGGGCATATTCAAACCTAAGAATGTAAATTTGTCCCTTTCCCTCACCAGCTCACTCATTACGAGTGCCTAGGCCTTGTGATCCTAGGAGGCGGTTTAAAAGGAGAAAGGAACACACACACAACCCAAGCCATTCATCCATCCAAAGCGTCCATCAAAGCGTGGATGTATGGCTTGGGTTGTGTGTGTGTTCTTTATAAAAAATCAGACAAAAGGAACTTTCGAGTTGTTGTTCAAGAGGAAATTTGGAAAGATCAGCTATAGCTAAACACTCATGGGGAAACGACCACAAATCTCATTGGGAAGACGCATCCCTTCTAGCTCCTGTGAACAATTATTTTCTTAACCGTTTATAATTGCGTGACTTTGTTGCGTGATGTGCTTGCGCACATAGCTTGTTTGTAATTAAACTTTTTTCGGATGATGGCCCGAGCTCACGGGCCAAAAGCTTAGAAATCTAATAAATTACATGGTGTAAACCACAAACAATTAAAAACAAATTTATTTAATAACACCATGCAAAACTTCAAAGAACATATTTACCTTCTATTACCTATATGAGAAAGAAAAAGATCATGGTAAATTCACATATAACTTCAACCTTTGTTGGAGAACATGTCAAATGAGTTATGGCTAGGTTTCGGAGTGAGTGAGATTGAGAAAACATACAATTTCTACAAATTTTTGAGGGTAATAAATGTTCTAATAATTGTTTGCCATAAGAAATTTCATTATGCGGCGAAGACACTATGACAAAACAATCTTATTTGCCAGGAATGAGTTTTGCGTGTTTTTTCCGTGATAGGATAATAGAATCAAAATAGAATTTATAGTTTAAATAAAATAACGGAGAAGTTAAAGTATTTCTGTAGAAAATGCACTCAAAAATATTAAGTAAAGAAGTCGGTTTTAATGATTTTCTGCATGATTTCTCATTACTGAGCTACCTCTATACAAATTAGCTGGATACAGCGATCGACGTAGCCAGCCCGACGATTATTTTAGTCATGCTATTCTAATATTTTGGTGTTAATTGAATAGGAAAACTACTGCTTGCTAAAGAAATGAATAATGATAATAACATAAAATTTGCGTAGCATGGCTAAATTGTTGGGCTTGCATGCTATACCAATGGCTGGATATTAATAGCGTACTAGATATATACATGCATGCAGCAATTCCTTGCCATTTGAAACGAAGAAAAATATTTCCTCAGCTAGCCAGTCCTAACCTCCTAAGTATATAATTATTTTCAAAGGACTTAATTGTAAAGCCTGTATTATAATCATTTATGTAGCTGATGATGAGTGACGTTTACATTTTTTTTTACTCCACTTTTACGACCGTGTTTGTTTCAAACTGTGTTCCAAACAAACACAGTCGTAAAAGTGAAGTGAAACCACACGACTCATGCAGTTATACGCCTGTATTCAAAAAGCTTACCCACACTCATACTCATCGAGTGTGACATATAAATTTCGTTAATGCTGATCAATGAGAAAGTTTTTTCGGAATAGATAGAAAGATGTAAGGTAAATCACTGAAAATCAAGCCCCTATTCGGCTGGAAATACCGCCATGGAAACGTTATGAGAAGATTAAGATCTCCCACTCAATGAGTTTGAGTGTGAGTGAGCTTTCAGAATGTTGAGGCGCCCTCAATATATCATGTGACTTTACAAATTAATTGTCAATAATTTGCATGCATTAGCATAACAGTGTAAATTGGCCAGCGTTAACAGGAGAAGAACAGTTGAACTTTGCACCCTCGAAGGAACGATCTGAGGGTGCGGCAATCAGACAGAAGAATCTTAGGGTTAATTTTCGCTACTTTATAGTCTAGTTGTTTCTATCAATGTACCTCGACATTTGGTAAGTTTGTACTAATGTATTAGTGTATTCAATTAATGTTAAAATGCGTAATTTGTAAAAGCGCCTATTAGTAATATGTTGTAATCTGTTGTCAGAATAAAACCACTATCAATCGAGTCACATTCAAGTCGAGAATACATTCCAATCTTTGCATCAAAGAGTACGGGCCGTGCCAGTACATAGTTTTATTCAAATGATCAAGACGGAGACATCGAATTCACGAGAAGATTAATTGTGTTGGTAAAATGAAATCCCTGGCGATGCAGGTATGACCTTTCACGAAATTGTTTTGGCATGTTGATCGAATTTGAGCTGTCTGGCGCTGTTTGACGTTTGGTAAATCGAACTAGCGATCCTAAACCTTCAACGCTGAAGTTATGGATCCTGACGATATGAACTATCGAAAAGAACAAAGGCAACGTGGCCTAGATTTGTCCACTGCGGCACTCGATGAAATAATTTGCTCATCTAAAAGGTCAAGAGCTGGTTTTCTTGCAGCCGTTTCTCGCGTTCGCGGACAAATAGAAGCACTTTTGGCTAATACCGGGAATGTACAGACAGTTCAAACCCTAAATGAGCGTTACAAAGACGCATGGTGTAAGTTTGAGGACTCACACAACTATTATATGTCATTGCTTCCCCCGGACAGCACGGCGTTTTACGAAGCGGTTGAACAATTTAATCTTTTGCTTGAAGAAAAGGCTGTACTGTTGCAACGTGTCACATTATATCTACATGATTCTGCTATAACCCTTTCGGGCAGTTACGAAAGACCATCTAGCCTATTACGTTTTGTTAAAGGCGAACATGCTTACGCTGAAAGTATAACTTCACGAAGGTCAAGTCTTGTCTCAAGATCTTCGACACAAGTTAAAAGGGTTGAAGCAGCGAAAGCGAACTTGGCGTTACAGTTGGCAGAACAAGAACGGCGTCGAACGATTGAAGGGCAACTCAGACTCCATGAAATTGAAAAGAAGCAAAGAAAACTCGCGAGACAACAGAAGTTAGAAGAAGAAGAACTTGAAAGCGCAAGAAAGCTTGAAGCGTTAAAACAAGAAGCCGATCGAAAACTCGCCGAAGTACGTCAACAAGCCGCCTTTATGAATCTTGAAGCGCAACTAGAGGAACAGATTGATGGCAATCAAGAAATCGATATGGATTTGGTCTCTGTAGTCGGGGGTGAGATTTACGAACAACAAACCGGAGACATACCGTTTACGTACCTTTACGAAGATGAGATTCCACCTCCATATATAGAGAATTTTCCAACGTACCAGCCCCTTCAAGATGAATTAAAGCACCCCGTATTTGCTTATCAAGAGTCCTCTACTCCTGCTGTTGATGTTGGAAGCCAGAATATCTTCCCAAAGGAAAACTTACCAAGCTGGACAGTAGAGCGAACGAATGTCGCGCATTCATGTAAAATACCACGTCTCAAACGCGAAGAAGACCTGGCGCGCGCACAGAACTCTTTTAACGCTGTACCACAACATAGTCAACAAGTTCATCAGCCGCCAGTCTGTTCCGAAGGGTACCAAAGCATATTGGTACCGAAAGTTCCATCGCCAACATGGTTGTTAGCCAGCGACGTCAGTCACCAGGAGTTTCAGCCAATTGCGGTAAGACCTCCAGAAAATAGCTTAAGAACTAAGGCATCTCTGTATGAGCACGAATCTCACGCTATTCCGACGGAGTTTCAAACTTCTAGAGAGGCAGCTTCGACACTTTCTAACAAGAAGGCGGATGTCTTAGAGTCGGTTGCGTCAGCTATGGAAAGCATCACGTTGGTGCAACAACGGTTGGCGTCGGGTCTTAATCTACCTGCTATACAACTAGATAAGTTTTCTGGCTCGCCAAACGAATTTCCGTTGTTCAAGCAAAGATTTCAGAAACGAATTATGTCCAACAATGGCTTCGATGACGGGGAAAAGATGCTGCGGTTATTACAGTTCCTTGATGGCGAGGCAAAGGAAGCCGTAAAGAGTTATGAAGTAGTGAAAGGAGGCGTATACGAAGCGATGAAAGTGTTGGAAGCAAGATACGGAAGAAAGTGTTTGGTTGTAAGTTCCATCGTAGAAAGCCTGACAAAGGGGCCACTCATAGCTATCAGAGATCGAATCGCGCTACGAAAGTACTCGGACGACGTTTCGAATGCAGAGGCAACCTTGAGATCTTTAGACTGTCTGAAGGAAGTAAATCAAGGAAACCTGGTTGATATGTCCCATCGACTGCCGAGGCATTTGCAAGAAAAGTTCGCAACGTTGGCGCACGATCTAGAGTCAAAAGAACAACGATTCCCTACACTAAGTGACTTAGCAAATTTTCTCAACAAGTGGGCAAACGTCGCAAACCACCCCGTCAATACATCTAAATGTAACGTTCCGCTGAAAGGAAGGACTGACCCGGCACTGAAACTTAGTACATTCGCGACTGGGCTTAACAGCAGCAAAGAAAATTCTTTCCGGATGGCGTTTGTTTCACCCTGTCCCTGTTGCTCGCAGAACCACTCAATTTATCGTTGTGAGCTATTTAAAACCAAAACCCAACCTGAAAGGCTCGAAGTTGTGAAGAAAAAAGGACTCTGTTTCAATTGTCTAAAGAGCAACCCCATAACACGATCCGGAGTTAAAGTAAAGCACAACGTTCAATCCTGTCCAAGTAAGTTCAAGTGTAAAGCCGACGGTTGCGGTTTACCACACCATACGTTGCTTCACAAACCAAAGTCATTTGAGAAGCGCAAGAGCGAAGAAATTCCTTGTGTAGAGAATAATGCAGCGAGCTTGAAGACTCCTGACGCTGTTTTGTTACAAGTTATCCCGGTTCGAGCAATCGGAGCGTGCGGAGTAACGACTACAACGTATGCAATGCTCGATTCAGGATCGGAAATCACCTTGGTGGATCCATCGTTAATCGAAAAACTCGGTGTTGAACGACGTTCGGATAAACTAGTGGTATCAACGGTGAGCAACGAAAACGATCTACAGCATGGCAATCGAGTAAACTTATCAATCGAATCGCTCATCGATAAAGATCCCCAACGCCTGGAATTAACGAATGCTTGGAGCAGTAAGGAATTAAAAATACCCCTTCGTCATCACCAAGCTTTGAACGACAAATCGCGATGGCACCACCTTCAAGATATCCCTTTCCCTGATGTTGAGAGAAAGAAAATCTCGATTATTATTGGCACTAACGTTCCTGAAGCGTTCATACCTCTTGATGTTCGTCACTGCGGACCTGAAGCGCCAGTAGCAATACGCTCTTGTCTGGGCTATTCAATCTTGGGCCGAATTGGTCACCCAACCAATCTGCAACGATCCATCGCGACTGCGTCAGTGGTTCGTAATGTGTGCGACGTAGCCGACGATGCTTCCCTCAACCAGCAACTGGAATCGTTTTGGAAACTAGAATCCTTCGGGACAACTCGCAACGATTTGAAGCCTACCTCGGTTCAGGACAGGAAAGCTCTCAAGGTAATAGAAGAAACACTCGTCAAGGTTGATGGTCATTATCAAATGGACCTATTGTGGAAGGATAAAGATGTTCTCCTCCCAAACAACCAGTCAGTGGCAGAATTACGATTACGACATTTGAGGAGGCGTCTGGAACAAGATTGTGAGCTCAAGCAACGATACGTCGCTGCGATAAACGATTACATCAAGAAGGGTTACGCCAAACGACTTACGAAGAAAGAAGAAATCACGCGAACCAACAAAACGTGGTATCTGCCTCATCACCCCGTCGTAAATCCTCACAAACCCGGCAAAGTACGTGCTGTGTTTGATGCTGCGTCGAAATATGGAGCTACATCACTCAACGACCAGCTTCTTGTCGGTCCCGACCTCACAAACAACTTGGTGGGTATCCTGATTCGTTTCAGACAAGATCCAGTTGCTCTCATCGCCGATATAGAAGCGATGTTCCATCAAGTTAAAGTGCGTCCAGAAGACTGTGATGCCTTACGATTTTTGTGGTGGGATGGTGACATCCAAGGGCCGCCGGTATCGTTTAAAATGCTCGTTCACATATTTGGAGCCAAGTCATCGCCGTGTTGCGCGAACAAAGCCTTACTACAGACAGCTGACGATAACGAAACAAAATACGGTAAGGATGTCGCGGACATTGTACGACATAATTTCTATGTAGACGATCTACTGAAATCTACTGGAACGGTTGAAGACGCTACTAGGTTGGCTCGGAACTTAATCGATCTCCTCGCGGAAGGTGGTTTCCGATTGACAAAGTTCATGAGTAATCGGAAGGAAGTTTTGAAATCGATTCCCTCGAAAGAGAGAGCTACGCCCGCTCTTGATTTGGACTTGAACAAGTTGCCAATAAGCCGTACCTTGGGTCTGTGCTGGGACGCGGATTCTGACGAGTTCTACTTTTCATCCATCAAAACGGATAAACCTTCAACTAAACGTGGAATCCTTTCTGTCGTCAGCTCCCTTTTCGATCCACTTGGGTTTTTGCTCCATTTGTCTTGCCCGCCAAAGTACTTCTTCAGGAGCTCTGGCGTCAAGGAGTGGGTTGGGATGATGAAATACAGCCGACAGAACTCAAAGTTTGGCAAAATTGCCTTCGATCGCTTCCGCAGTTATCTAACATCAGAATTCCCAGATGTTATCTTGTGGCTAGGGTCACAGTCCACAGTATCGAGCTTCATGTGTTTTGTGATGCCAGCGAAGTGGCTTATTCAGCCTCTGCCTACCTCAGAATAACAGACTATGAAGGTGGCGTTCACTGCAAGTTTGTAATGGGAAAATGTCGCAACTCACCGATAAAACGACCAACTGTACCTAGATTAGAGCTACTGGCGAGTGTAATGGCTGTTCGACTAAGCAACCTGATACAATCGGAAATGGACTGGGTTATGAAGAACGTGACCTTTTGGACAGATTCGACAACTGTGTTACAGTACATTTACAATGAGAATAGACGATTCCACCGGTTTGTTGCTACACGCCTCGAGGAGATTCACGAGCACACCAAGCCTGAGCAGTGGCGTTATGTTCCAGGGAAACAAAATCCAGCTGACGACGGATCAAGAGGTCTGCCGGGAGAAGCTCTCCAATCCAAATGTCGTTGGTGGTCAGGCCCTGAATTCCTGATTGAAGATGCGAATAAATGGCCCGAATTGAAGATTGCTGAGGTTCCGGTGGACGACCAAGAAGTTCTGAAGAATCGAGTTTGTCAAACCACGTCTACCTCGGATACAGCCTTCTCTCAATTACTTAATTGCTTATCATCCTGGTCGGAAGTTACAAAAATGTGTTTCCTGGTTGATCCGATTTGTGGAATTCATTCAAAATCATTCAACATTTCACCCTTCGTCAACACAGATTACCTTGCTTGAAATACAAAATGCTGCTCGTTTGATCGTGAAATTCGTCCAGAAAGAATATTTCCGAGATGAGCTTCTAGCCTTGAAGACGAACAAGAGAATCAAGTCAAACAGCAGATTGGTGAATCTCTGTCCTGTGATGAAGAAAGGAGTTTTGTGCGTTGGTGGTCGATTGAGACATGCGCCGATAACATCCGAATCTACTAACCCGATGATAGTCCCCAACCAACATCACATCGCGGAAATGATCATCTCTTTTACCATCATGTTTCGGGACATTCCGGTCGTGAGCATGTGTTATCCTTAGTACGACAGCGTTATTGGATCCTAAACGCCCGTGCGTTAACTCGTCAGATTCTCCGTCGATGTGTAAGTTGCCGGAAGCGAAATGCAGCACCTATGACTCAAATGATGGGTGAACTTCCCGCTGCCAGAGTGACACCATACGATCCGCCCTTTACATTCACTGGATTGGACATCTTTGGTCCATTCCTTGTCAAGCGTGGACGTGGTTCCCAAAAGATATATGGCTATATCTTTGTCTGTTTCGTAACAAGAGCTGTTCATATCGAAGATGTCGATTCATTGGAAACGGACTCCTTCATACAAGCACTCAGGCGTTTTGTTTCGTTGCGTGGCGCTGTTAAAGAGATATGGAGCGACAACGGAACGAATTTCATTGGAGCAGAGAAAGAGTTAAGATTGGCAAAGCAAGCGTGGAACCAAAGAGCCATAATCGAATACACACACGAGAAAGGAGTAGAGTGGTATTTTCAACCTTTTAACAGATGGCATTTTCAACCTCCAACCGCGAGTCATATGTCCGGGGTATGGGAACGACTAATTCGAAGTGTACGGAGAACTATGAAGGGCATTCTTGGACATCCACATGCCTTTATAGAACGGGACACACTACGCACTCTCTTTGCCGAAGTCGCCGGTATCCTCAACACACGCCCTTTATGCTCGAGTAGTGACGACCCCAATGACCTGGAAGCATTAACACCGAGTCATTTCCTTCAACAACGACAAGGATTGGCTATACCACCAGGCATATTTGAAAATTCGGAAATCTCTTCCCGCAAGCAATGGAAAAGAGGACAAGTATTGGCAAATCACTTCTGGACTCGGTGGATTCGGGAGTACCTTCCTTTACTACAGCAAAGAAGGAAATGGTTGACGCCCAAAAGAAATTTAAAGGTCAACGATCTCGTTCTTGTGGTTGACGCAATTCAACCCAGAAGTCACTGGAGTCTTGGACGTGTAATCAAGGTATTCCCAGGTAATGATGGTCTGGTGCGAACAGCAGAGGTGAGAACAAAGTCGACAACGCTAGTGAGACCTGTTACGAAGCTTTGTCTCTTGGAAACTAATCCTTAAATTAAATATTGAACGATTTGCGAACCGTTCAACGGGGGGACCATGTTGAGGCGCCCTCAATATATCATGTGACTTTACAAATTAATTGTCAATAATTTGCATGCATTAGCATAACAGTGTAAATTGGCCAGCGTTAACAGGAGAAGAACAGTTGAACTTTGCACCCTCGAAGGAACGATCTGAGGGTGCGGCAATCAGACAGAAGAATCTTAGGGTTAATTTTCGCTACTTTATAGTCTAGTTGTTTCTATCAATGTACCTCGACATTTGGTAAGTTTGTACTAATGTATTAGTGTATTCAATTAATGTTAAAATGCGTAATTTGTAAAAGCGCCTATTAGTAATATGTTGTAATCTGTTGTCAGAATAAAACCACTATCAATCGAGTCACATTCAAGTCGAGAATACATTCCAATCTTTGCATCAAAGAGTACGGGCCGTGCCAGTACACAGAATACAGGCCATAGACTTTCGCGGTTTAAGGGAGACCTAATACTTCACTATAACTAAATCTTCAAAACATCAAACAGCAGAAATAATTTAAATAAACAAGCACTAAACGAGTAAACGTCGAATGTTTTTTTTTCGATTATTAAATCTATGCAGTGATTGCACTCGACTTTATAAAAGCCTTAAAGTAATATTTCTTACATCAAAACTCCGAATTACGCTTTTAAGAACTCTTTTTAAAGTGAAAATAACTAGAAATACATGCATGCAGTAACCCCCCACCATTTCAAATGAAGCAACATATTTCCTGAGCTAGCAAGAGCTAACCTTCAACATTTTGAAATGACCTAAATTAAATAAAAAGCTGATGGCGGTTGTTTCAAATTTTTCGGAAACCTAGAACTATTATCACCTTTTAGGTGAAGTGAAATCATCCGTTTTCCTGCTGCATTACGTTGCAATGAAGTTAATAGCTCTTCACTGATGTAGAAAACCGAGCAAAACGAAATACTGTACATGCAATGGTCATAAGATGTATTCGTACAGCAAACACGAAATAAACCTCGCAAATAAAGTAGGCACCAACCATTACGTACAATGATTGTAAATTACGAGTTTTTCCTTTTCACCACTAACTCCTTCAGTTCAGATGATATTTTAAACTCTTCCCATTCCACATTTCATATCGTGTTTAGTAAACATTTTTTTCAAAAATAGTTGGCAAGATGACAATTAAATTGCTGACGTTTTTCACTGAAACACAAACGTTTCGTCTTAGCCAATCAGCAAGTTGCAAGTTACCAGTCTTCACTTCTTCAAATTTTGCGGGTGCGCACAAGTACCATGACAATTGAACGCCTATGGACCATGACAAGGATCCCACTTTGATCTTTCACAATATCCTTGTGTGATTAATCATCCAACGGAATTCGTACCCTCATAGGGCGCTCCGCGCCCGCTTGGGGATTTTAAAGCCTCAAATAGTCGGTTAAGTCTTTGCAAAACGACAAACCAAGCTCATAAAAATTAATATATTCTTACCAGAAACACGAAATAAACAAAGTATAAATAACCCCCTACAAATTCAAGGACCGGCCCGCGACCAAAAAGTGAAGCAAAAAACATGGCGGATTTTGTCGTTTGCTGACGCCAGATTGACGCCACTGGTTCCTATTCGCCATGGTAGTTACCACTGACCAAGGCTCAATTCTGAGCCCGCTACAAATGCACCCCCCTGGTTTTTGTTTGAAATAGTATTCAGTTCTCATTATTATATTTTCTGAAAAAAGTTTAAACGTCAGTATATTTTTGAACTGAAAACTTTTTGATCACATATGTTCAACGTTTTTGTGAAGATATCAAAGTCGTACACGTTACTTCTGTCAAAAACAGGAAACAAATAACAGATAAATAATAAAACTTCAAGAAATTTGCCGAAACGAAAATGCAGTTGACTGACAGGTAAATATATTATTCATAATTTCATTTTTTAGATAAAGTTTCACCATTTTTTTTCGTTAACAGTCTTTAGATATGATCCCGCTATGTTTTGTCAAAATACTCGGGTGTCATTCCTAATATCCGGGCGGAATTAGTACCCTCGCACGGTGCTTCGCATCAGCTCGGGGATAAATTATTATAATTCAGCATTCTAATATATTCGTAATGAAATATTCATAAAACATTTATATTATACGACATATGCAAACAACAACATAATCTCATTTTCGTGGAATTGTGGACACATCATTTCTGAATTGTATGCTCTAAGTGAACGTGTTTTCGCTCGCTACAAATTGAAATGTAAAAAGTCTAGGTATACCCTTTGTGTCTTTGTTTGTACCCTAACACTTTCAGAAGACAATGCAAATGAATAATACGGTTCTTACCAAAACGTCTTCGTAAAAAACCCATGGCCCATTCTTCATTTTTGTTTTGTTCATCTTCACCGTGCTGTTGCTCAACTGACAGTTTGTATAAAGGTTGCTTTGTTTCTCTCTGTAGTTGTACCCATAGCAATTTTCTTGACTATCACAGAGAATGTGGCACTCTGCTAAACTATTAATGGCATGATTTGATATAAGATCGGATGGTCGCAGTGCTTGATTTCCTGCAAGCAAAATATAGATCATTGAAGTTATTAAATTTGCATTCTATATTAATTATTCACCTTTATTATACAGGGTGTCTCAAAAAAACGAAAACTATTTAAATCACTCATTGTTAAAATTTAAATGCCGTGTGCACGAATTTTGGCCCGTGGGGATTTAGTGCAACTCAGTAAAATGCTAAATGCTTTGTGTTGCTAGAGAAAAGGGACATGTCGAAGGTCATGGTGATTGAGATGCACATTTAAATAAGGTTAATAAATATCATTTTCGCGTACGAGCAAATTTTACTGCATCATATTCATGCATAAAAATGCTTATGGCAAACATTTACACACCTGTGGGTCCAAATTAGGCATTCAAACTCTAACAATTACATTGTTATACGTGATTTCAAAGGTTTTTGGCTTTTTTTAGACACCGTGTATCAGTAAAAGAC